AATTCCCAATCCTCGGAAATCCAATGTGCTGTAATTCCCAAAAAAGATAAACTATTTGATGAAGTCCAGGCATCAACTGTAAAAGAAATTTTACTTGATATTTGCTATAAAAAATATAAATATATATAAATATATTTTTATTAAATTAAAATTTTTTATATAATATAATTACTTGTAAAAATTGTTATATATTTTTTTTATTTTCATTAAAAGATATCATTATATTATTTTTAATTGTATTTGTTAAAGAAATTGGAACACAATTTCGTAAAATAGATATTATATTTTTAAATTCAGAAGATTTAACACTTGTAAATAAGAGGTCATTAACTATAATCCATTTTATAAGTAATTGTCAGAAGTGTTCTGTACTATATGTCTAAAAATAAATTAATATTTTTTTAATTTTAAATTTAAAAAAATATTAAATATAACTTATCGAAATTAAAATATTTTGCATTGTTTGTTTTAATATTAACTGTTAATTGTTTTCTTGAATTTTTAAAGGATGTTTATTTTTAAGATATTTGGCCATACCAGTAGTACTGCCTTTATTTGATTAAATAACTGCTTTACAATAATTACATTATAGTTTTTGTATATTTTCATTAAAAGTAAAGTGAGTCCAAACCCAGCTCTGAAATTTTTTAGAGCTATTATTTGTTAAAGTACTTGTTGTTTTATTATCAAGAATTTCATTACTATCAAAGCTATTTTGAAATTCCTTTTGCTCAAAATTTGCAAAAGCAATTTCTTCTGGTAACTCAAAATAAGTATCAAATTCTTCCATTTTAAAAAAATAGTTGATGACAATAAAACAATTCTTTATGATGTATCTTTATATTTATAGTTCAGTATAATTTCTATTGCCAATTTTTATCTAATATAGATTGATGTTTTTAAAAAGTATTAAACCTAAAATAATAAATCAATAATGGTATTATTGAAATTATATAATAAAAATTCTATTTATATTTATAGTTTGATGTAATTTCTATTAATATTGATATAATTTCTATTGTTATTATTAATTACCAATCAGTATTTTTTAAAAATACCGAAACCAATCGGTACTTTACCAAAAATTTCAGTTCAGTATTTTAGTTTTAAAATTAGTACCGAAACCAAAACTGATAAATTGGTAATGATATTTACTAATACCGATTGGAACCCTAATAGCAAGCTATCTACTGGTCGGCTTGTTGCCCTCCATGCCTCCTATATTATTAATACTGGAGCCCTAATAGCATAGGTAAAGAACTAACTTGCCAGGATATATACCTCTAAGTCTCCATCCGCCATCTGATAAATAGAAACTTAGAAGACCATCCAAACATAGTCAGCTGGAGACTAGTTATATCCTATTGGCTCTAATTAGATCTAAAAAAATTTTTAAAAAAGTAAAAATGGAATATGTGTATGTGTTTACATATGAATATTTATAATAATATGCAGAAAAACCCCTTAAAACCTGTAGGACATATTTGTGAAACTACAAAGGAAAAAAAACTATTTATTGTTCTAAAGAAAAAACCTATTTGTATGCTATTGTGATTTTCATATTAATTTGTGATTGGTCCATACTTCTTACACCTTCTTGTTGATCTTTATCTAGTCTGAAAAATCTTCAATTAGGATTGGCCATTTGCTTCCTGTTTTGAGTAGAGTATTACTATTGTTATTCATTATGGTCGGATGAAGTTCAGTTACAAGGTATCAAACTTCAAATCAAACAAAGGATTGGATGCTGCGTTACAAGTAAAGTTTATGAAGAAAAGAGAAGAATATTGGTTTTTATTTCTATTAATGATTATGTATTTTGCCATGTCAACATTGTTGTTATGCTTTGTTAGCTTGTATCTTCTAGTTGTATAAAAAATACCACCTGACTTTTTATCATTAAGGAGCCAACACTAACTCCAATGGTACTTTCAGTTTGCCATTTAAGGTAACTTGTTTGAGGATAAAAGAAGCTGTTTTCAGCCTTACAGCTTTTTTACCAACAAGAATTATATTTCCAGAGAGAGTATAGTGTAGTGCTGCTAACCAGAGTATTTGTGAGTTCTTTAATGAAAATTTTTCTCTCTTTTAAGAGAAAACTTCCTAAAAAGAAAATTTTTAAGGAATGTATAATAAATGGGAAAGAGTTTTTTTTTTGTTAAATTTAAATTTTTTTTATTAAATTTATAAATTATTAATAAAAAAAACTCTTTCCCATATATAAAAATTTTCTTAAAAATTTTTTTTTATAATAATTTTTTTCAAAATTAAAGAAACAGTTTTTTTATTTTCATCTTGCAATATCCAAAAATCATTCTTACTTCTTTTATCTTTACTACAAAAACTTCAAGAAATTTAAATAGTATACTGGTGTATTGGGATAAAACCTCTAATCAGGGAAAAGCAAGTGCTTCAAACTTGCTTTTTTCTTGAATTGCATAAGAAAAAGTCTGTAACAGTTACTTTTCTACAAATTTTTCTTGAGGTTCTTTTTATTTATACTTCTTATTAAAAAACTATTTTTATTAAATAATTATTTTTTGTTTTTAGAAAGCTGTTTTCAAACTTAAAAAACTAAACTTTACATTATTATTGTCTATATTGTTGACTTGGGACACTAGCAGTATATACAATATTTATTCTTCAATATCGCTTAGCATAATATGCTATGTCATAAAAAACCAAAAATTTTCATTTAAAAAATTTTTTATCAAAAAACCATAATCAGTTTATTCCTGTCAATTAAATATTTCAGAGAGATATAGTTTGAACTATTGTATTTTTAAAATATTGCTTCTTCCATTGGCTTGTTTGTATCACTTATATAATATATCTTGTGTTGTTCATTTTGCCAATAATATTGTTACAGGCAAATTTTATAATAATATTTTTTATTCAAGTTGGCCAACTTTTTAAATAAAGTTATATTCAATTAGTTAGTATTCAAGACTGAATTGATAAATTTTAAAATTTGTATTGGACTTGATTAGGTCTTCTAACAATATCACTTTTATATTATTTCAATATTTAAATTTACTATAAATTTATATAAGTAGGTCACAACTTATATATTAAATTTACTATTTAGATCAATATTATTTCTATATCAATTTGATATCAGTTCAGTACTTTTTGAGGCTTTGAACTTTACTATTTTATTTAATATTAATACAATTTGGATTGATAATTCATTTATGAAAAAGGATTAGGTTATAAGCCAAAAAGGAGATCATTGGAAAGATTTTTTAACTGTTGAATAGAATTTTCCTTATCTTATATTTATAAGTAAGAAGTTATAGCATAAAACCAAGATATAGACATATTTATAAGATATAAGTTGGAATTCTAATAAAAAGAATGGATAGCATAAATTATTATTAACAATAGTTAATAAACTGTTTATGTATAAATAATTGTAATCTTAACTTATTTAACAATAAAATCCATATGTGTATCAAAACTTAGCCCTTAAAAAAAAATAAATAAAAACTTAATATATTTTTTTGTCATTATTATAAATAAAAATACTCTTTCTATATTATATATTATAAGCTAAATTGATTTCTTATATACAGTATATCATGCTAAATAGGGTTTTGAAAATAATTATTTCCAAGTTATTGTATATGGTATAAAAATGAAATAGACAAGATTAAAGAATTGTATAAAAAAAAGACCTTTATAATCTAATTAAAAACAAATATTTTATAAACAGAAATTAATTTATTTATTACAAGTAATAACATATAATATAATTAAAAATATTGAGAAAACGTATTTGAAAATGTATAAAAAAGATGATTAAAATATTTAAAATGATTTTTTAAAAAGATTTTTGAAATGGTTTCTCAAAATGATATTTCATATAACCTTTTTATAATAACATATTAACTTATGTAGTGTACGTAAATAATAATAATTTTATAACAAATTCTTTATTTAAATTCAAGATACTTTATACAGTACAGTATATCATATTGTTGTCTTGATTTGAATTGTAAATAAAGTTTTATTAATAAATGAAATTCCATCTCGCCATTCAAAAAATTCTCCACTCGGCGGTTCCCAGGTGATTCAACTTTCTATGAGCTGTCGGCTTCACATCCTCAAAAGCCGTTTGCAAAATTTGCAATGAATCACCATGGCTCACCAGTATCGCCACATTTTCCGCTTCTTGTACATCCTCGATCCTCATCCTGTGGCCAAGGTCCAATTCAATTTCTTTAATCACGCCACACATGCGAGACTGAACTTGCTCACAAGTTTCAACCCCAATCTCTCTGTACTTGTCCAAAATTTCATCATTGTCATGCCCATTGCTTTTACTGTCCACTTCCCCATCCAATTTCCAAACTTTGTTATAAGATTCATGATCAGGTTTTAACTCATAAATTCCAAAATTCCGTTCTCGCAAGCCTTGGACCGTGATGACAGAGGGATATAAGATAATCTTTCATTAATGAAGAAATTACGGTGAAATTCTAAGAACGATAATGCATAATATTGCGATGCAATGGATCATAAATTGCTTACTCGTCTTGGGGCACTTGGGAAACCCAAATCATCTTCAGAACCTCCAAGGTAATTAGAAATGTGATCGTGCACGATTGCAGCGGTCTCGAGAGTTCTCAAAAATGGAGACGTGTAAATTGCTAGTCTGATGGGTTTCTGCGATTTCACGATGCCTTCGGGGTCACCGGGCATATCTCGGACCTCTGAAACACGAGCTGTGCGGGAAGGGTTGAGGTTATGAGCGGTGAGAAGGTATTCCAAAACATCTTGGGCTGCCTGTCGCAAGGCATGAGATTCATAATTAGGTTTACTAGTCACTACGCCAAATTACAGACCAACAAACATACGCGCTTCACTTGTTCCTCTCCCACCGAAGTTAAACCCCAACCATTGTTCTCTCCGTGAGGGCCTGAGGAAGATTCAGCTGGTGAGGCAGGCGGACAGCCATTTTCCAGTGTTGACACCACGACACCCGCAACATTTGCCTTCGATCGGCCATGTCTGAGTAGGATGTAATGGTTTTCAAGTGGGGTTGGAAGTGAAGAAGAATTAATCATAGATAGTAGGTTTCATTGAGGTCAAGAACAATTTTGACGAGAACAACTTTGAGTTTTATTACACACGTACTCTCGTTCTCATAAAGAAAAAAAAACCGCCGATTTTTTGGTCATGATTTTATCACGTGTCTTGAAGTGAAAATACAGAATGAAATGCAGGCAAAGAAAAATAACAATCTCTCGAAATAATTTGTAACTAAACACTAGACTCTTTAGATTCACCGCTGTCCTCGCTCGCGGACATGTCATTGCTATACCCGTAAATGTCCACAATATAACTATCATTAGAGCTAGAATCAATGATAACGTTTATGCACGAATTTCGGAATTCGTTGATGTTGACTCTAAGCCTTCGCTCATCTCCGCTACAGATCCCCCATCCCCTACCTCTTGTGTTTTCATCAAACTCATTTCCCACGTTTACCTCCTGCCCCTGCCCCTCCCCCTCCCCCTCCTGTACGTCCTGTTTCACCCTCACCTTTTCGTCACCCAAACTCACGGGCTGTTTATCATCCGCTAGCTTACATATCCTCAGAGTAACATTGTGATCAGGGAGATAGTTCAGCAGTGTCGATAATGCGATCATGAATAGATGCAAGATGACCGACAAAATGGCGAACCACCAGAATACGTTGAAGGATTTGATCAAAGTATGGAGGGTGCAAGTAGAGATGGAACTATCTTTGTGAAGCATGTTGAGTTCATAAGGGACTACGGTTCCTAGATAGAAGAGGACTGGAGAAGGTGAAAGAAAGAGAAAGGTCGGGTCAGTGTATTGATTACATTCGTCGTACGCCTCACCGGTTATAGCTCACCTTTCAATATCCACGAGGCACTCTCATTTCTGTTTGCGGAAAGTAAGATTGATTGATGAAAAAAAAGACTTTCAAGGAAAACCAAACGTCAATGAGAAGCATATGCACGGTCGTAAAGATTGCCATTACCTAAACTTCTTGTAATCATAAGGGAAGTTCCCGGCATTCAACAGCAAGAGGACTTTGGAAAAAGAGCAAGGTGAAAATTAGAATGGCAGCATGAAGAAACCATTTAGATAAGAAATCGATGAGAAAACTTACACGATTCAAATGATGGCCTCAAGAATATGTACATGTACCTAATCAAAAAACAGATGTACTGTATGTTAATTATAAAGATTCATGTTCCCGCCTCGAAAATTTCGTCAACTTCCCTACCATTGATTTATGAACATGTGAACCGCGGATATTAAAATTACTAAAAACGAATGATTCGGGTCGCCGTTGAGGTAACTTCTCAAAGGAACCAGATGTAGACATTTTATTGCCACTATTTCACGTCAAAGAGAAGTGCGTTGAGGAATATCTATCGGTGTGACGAGAAGAATATGATCGATTGACGCACAAACCTCCAATGAACATAGCAAACGTGATATACGAATGCAACAATTTAAAATTTCGGTGAATCGCCAACGCTGCAAGTTGTGTGGTCATTGTGACTTCTTTATCGAGGATGTTGAGAATTTTGTAGGACCGCGGAGATTGTCAAACTCCAGAAATTAAGACACACCCATCGAATAAATACGTAACGAAAAAAACATTTCACGTTACCTCAATCACGTAATTAAGGTTCATGTTATATGATTGTACTGTGTAGTACATGTCATGTTTTCCTAAAATTTAACGATTCACGTACGTATGTCGTTCTTTATACTAATCGACTTAACCTAACTTGATCTTCTTCGATTGTGGTGCACAGCGGTTACCCCTACAGATTCGCATCGTAGAATCTCCAACGACCGATGATGAATGAAGTGTTTAAATGGACTTATTCGTGGTTAGCTTGAGGCGAAATCGACTCGTGATGACGCGTAAAAAATCTAAATACATCTTTGAGCATAATTTTAACCATAAGGATATAAAGTTTATTCTATTTTTTCTACCTCGATAGTCAATTACCAAAAGGACCCGAGGTTTATTTGTACCTTGCGGTCATTCTAACTTTCTTAAACTGACAAGTGCAAACTTTTTTTTTTAAAAGCTTAAAATCTATGAGAGTCGGTATTTGCACTCTTTAAAATGTCATTGGAAGTAGGAATTTTATGATTATAATTTGCATTTTATCGAATCAAATCTTGAAACAGTGAGAAAGTTGACCATTGGCATTTCTCTCTTCGAGTTTTATGCCCGTTGTTAGGTGCAGACTCTTATTGTGTTCACCTTACATATTCGGAAAAAAAATTGGCACGTGTCATTTTTTTTAAATTAGTAGTTTATATTTTCAAGTACTATTTCATTCTTTCATTTAGTCTTGCATATATGGCTGTATTAACTATTATTGCAATAATAATAATAATCATCATGCATTATTATCTATAATAAAAATTAATATCTTTCTTGCAACTCCTCAGCTTTAAAACCGAAACATTATCCGCAAAGTGTTCATTCATAATTTTTAAATGCAGATACAGTAAATGACAACATATCTCGTCCTTTCCAGGTACTCATGTATGATCGGGAACAATATTTCCTTTACCCAATTGAGCGTGCATCCTATCGATTCGATCATGAACGATTTTTAAAGTTTGATTCGTGTTTGCTAATTTTCTCCGCGCAACCATCAATTTTTGAATCGAAGGTTGAATGGGCGGTGATTTTGCCGCTTCGACGAATAGTTGCAGTTCTTGGTGTGGGGATGTGTGTGGAGTCGTTAGAAAGACGACGATGATAATCTTGAACCAGAAACTGAAATGAAAAAAATTCAATCGCGATAACACACATACCTGCCAGCAACCTCTCGATCTCTTTGTTTAGCTCTTCCTGACTATTTTTAACGGCAACAATTCTGCTGTCCATCTCTTCGATGACAGGTTTCAGTAGAATTGACAAACCTTTTGCAAATTTTTCTTTTTCCGATGATAATTTGCTATTTTCCGTTGTAGGCATTGCTTTGTCTTCATTGTGAGTGGGTGTGGTTGTTCCCGAGGTGTTGGCGTCAACGTCGCTGAAAGAAACATTATTTTCAAAATTAGCTGAAGCAGATAGATCGACATCTGCGAACGTTGACTTATCCTCCATTTTGGTGCTGATTATATTTATTAACTACTATTTATAGCTCATTTTTCATCACGTGGCTGTATCGGTATCACAATCGCGTTGATAAATGCGAAAAATCGCTTCATCGCTTACCTCTCAAACTTCATGTACAGCGGATCGTCAGCGTCGTCGTTGTTAGATATAACCAAGCGTCTAGTAAAATCGCAATCCCTTTTGCACTATGAAAATGACGCCGTGGAAGACGTTATTGAAGGTGTTTACACGTTAGACCATCAACTGGATCAGATGTCCGAAGAAGGTCGCGTCGGCTCCTTCTCCCAAGGCGAAGAAATTGGTTCAACTTCCCTCCCGAGTGACCATATCAACTCTGAAATTAGCACAACTTCGATTCGTACTATGCTCAACTCTTCGCAGAGTATTCCCGCGAATCTCCTGATCCCGTATGCAATCGAAAACCATGATGTCAAAGTACTGAAATTTTATCACGCGCAACGATTGGAGAAGATCAGAACATCTTCGATTCAAGATATACCATATTCTGAAGATGAATGGTTGAATTTGTCCGAGGAGGAGAAAAGCTTCCATAGGGACTACATGGATTTATTGAGGACGTTGAAAGTGGAATGTCCGCCGGGTGTCAATTTATCGGCAAGTTTGATACCCCCCAGAGAGGCCATCGTGGTTGTCCGGGTGCTCCAGGATGTTGGTAATACAATTACTCTGATCGCATTACGACTCGTGCTAATCCCGTTGCTATACATACCATCGATGATAATGATATCTAAAATTCCGTGATAGGCGAATTAATGACTCTAAATGGATTCATTGAATTTCGAAAAGGATCGCAGATGAAAGTTAAAAAGGCCGATCCAACGGTTGAAAGGTTGATAAAAATGGGTGCCATCAAAATTGTTGGAAATCGATGATGATGAATTGGAATATCATCACGGTGAGTGGTTTCATCGTTAGATGCGCGTTTTTCCGATCAATCTTCTCAATCTCTTCGATTCCAATAAAAATTGCGTATGCCATTTTTACATTGCATGACAAATAGGGTACATGCAAGGACGTGACAAAATGGAAGTATTAAAAAAAAAAAATGCACTTCATTTCATTCACACATGTATAAAACGGTTTATTCCTTATGTCCGATGTGATCCGCACGGTATAACTGTTTATAGAACTAAATGTAAATAATTTTACTCTAAATATGGTAAATGACGAAAGCGTGCGGTAGATGATTTTCGCCTTTTTTGATATCGCTTGATTAAAATATTTTATTGAAAATTTTCGCTATACGATGTTAAAAACTCCGCTTCCTTAAATGTATCAAGGATATGCATCGCTTTTTTTTCTTTATTTTATTTATACTTACCATTTAAATTAATGAATCAATGCAAAGAATAAATAATGTATATCGGTATCATCACATATCATATTTCATGCAAAAATCGAGGAGTCTTATCACATGTAAATAATGATTTCCACTTTCTGATAATGTCGGTGATTGCAGGGTATGACGCGTAAAGGGCTATTGGGTGATATTTTAGTTTTTTTTTTGAGAATGTCACATACCTGCGTAATTTTATTTTAAATCAACTGTGAATTTTTCGATATTGAACCGGACGAAAACTCGAATGCTGTGACATTTACTCAGGCAAATCTCACAACACCTTTATTTATCAACTACACAACGAACAATCATCACATTCATTATCTAGTTCTCACCTTCTATTTTCGCGAATCCAAATTTCCCAAAGCCACATTCTTCATTGAATTCAAGAATTTGCTCACAGCTAAAATATAACACTAACGATAGTGAAGTAAATGTTTATGAAAGACGGTAATTTATTTTATTACTCCACATACTCGCCTTCTTCCGCGCTTGAATCTGCGTGTTTGCTAACTTCCATTAATTGTGGTTCATCTTGTTTTGGTGATTGAATTTTAAGATTTTTAAAAGATTCATTAGGTTGAGGGGAATTATTTTTATAATGTTCTTCCGATTTCGGAGAATATGATTTATAATCCTGGGGTTTAGGCGACCGTGATGAACGTGGTACATGATCTCGCTTCGGCTCTGTAAATCTGTCGTGATCTTGATATCTAGACTCTACATATCTACTTTCATACTTGGTTTTAGGCTAAAGATGTTGAACACTATGACTTTGAATACGAATATTGGTGTGATGTTGTATCAAAATACAAATCTTCATGCTCTATGTTACCTTTCGTCGCTTTCGTCTATCACCACCATCCCTATCCTTATCAGAATAGTCGGCACTGTCGGCCGAGTAATCTGAGTAATGATGCGATCGTCGATGGTGATATGACCGATGACTTTTGTGCTTTCTTTTACGATCTGACGATGCATGTTTATCATCCTCGAGATCGTCATCTTTGATCGTTCCCTCTTCCTCTTCGCTTTCTTCACCACCTTTCCTGAGGAGTTTTTCCTAACGAAAAATATGGTTAAGTGCATATTTGACAACCATGTGTTAAATTGAGAAACGCTTACTTTGACGCGATCCATAAATTTGTTAAAAACTTCGATGCGCTGTTCCTCCGACTCGATTGCATGAAACTCTTCGGTTTTCTCAACCACCGGACGCACCTGCAGAAAGAACAAAGATAATGTTAAGTGAATACAACAGAATCGTGTGACCTGACATTTAATCCATAACGTCTTTCGAAAATCATAAAGTTCACCTGTTCCCAAGTTGCCTCGGGTGTAATCATCGTCTCGAAATTTTTGAAGACAGATCTAAAAGCATCTAACTTTCTACGCTGTCGTCTCTCTTGTTTTCTTTGAAGCTGTAAAAATATTTTTTTTTTCAACACACGATTCCGCACATTTAAAATGTCAAATTCAAGTATTATTCCTACCTGTTCAAAAATGACCTTTAAATTGAATTCGTTTACCGAAATAATACGTTCATCCGAACCGAGTGTGTATTGAAATTGCTCGAAAGTAACTCCCGGATTTAGTGTGAGATCTTTTGCCTGAAAATTTGTCCGTCGATGGTTTTAGACGATAAAACGGATGTCGCATAAACTGCACAAAAAGAATACCTGACTTATTCACCTTCAACACTTCGGACACAACTTTACGTTGTTGATACAAAATCTCATCGAGTTCTTCGACAACGTCCCAAAATAATTCCAGTGGACTAGACCCGGGCTGCCCAAGCATGTTCAGGTAGCGCTCGTCATCATGAATAACTGGATAGATTTCCTTCCATTTAGATTTCGCGGTGATTATATTTTTTTGTCTCAGTTCTTCCATCAAAGCTCGATAGGCATCCCGATTCCTACGCTGCTGTCTGGTTTGCGTCTCCATCTCCTTTTTTTTCTTCTCGGCGGTCTCTCGTTCCAAGGATCGGATGTGTTCCTCATAGACTGCCAAAAAATCCAGCATGTCCATCTCTTGAAGTTTTTTGTCTTGCTGATATTCAGGAGCATTCGTGTATACACTTTGCGCATCAGTCCATCGTGTGGATTCAGTGATACTCAAAAGGGATTTCAAGAGATGACTAAATTTTTCCATGTTCTCTTTACGAACCGCCCGTTGGATTTCCTAAGGTTACGAAGTTTAAGTAAAGTAAACTTCTGTGTGCATAAATATAATTCATGAATGTGTGACTCACCTTCTCTTGTTTTCGCAGGTCATAAATATATTCGCTGAATATCTCCTCGCGTAATCTTTCATCTTCCACTGCCAAGAATGCAGGTTCTTCGCCAAGTACTTCACATACTTTCCTAAATATGGAATATATCATATGCATTCATGTAAAACTGGTAATTGATGTTTTGAAGAATAGATAAATTTTACCTGTAACGCGTTGACGAATTGACTTCGGGATGTGACTCTAACAATGAGATGAAATCTTGACGGACCTTAATGATCTTGGCTTTCTTCTCTTCCTATATATGAATGAACCAAAAAGGATTGTCACCACAAAGTTCTTATTTCATTCATTTTAATTGAAAATATATCATGTAAGCTCTAACCTCCTCCTTTTTACGCATTTCATCCACGTAATCATGAAATGCTTGTTTGCGTTCTGTTAGGGTCTTGATTGCTCGATACATGGGATTCGAAATTATTGCCCTCATGGTTTGCTCCCAAGACCAATCAGGTTTAACACCCTGTGAAAAAAATTTTAATTAATGATGGGACCGTAGCGAAATGCATGGCAAAAAATTTGCTCACCGAATCCTTGAGTAACTGCCTAAATGCAGCCACAGCCTCTTCCTTGGTTTCAAATTCAATCTTTGGTTGCTCAGGTTGTTGAGTATGCAAAATCGGCACGTGCGGCCTGACGGGCGTACTTATTGGAGTCACATTCACAGGACTAACCGCCGGTATACTTAATTGACGCGCTCGTTCAAAATCTTGTTGACTCGGAGAAACTGCTGTCTGAGAAGTGGATTCTTTATTTCTAAATATAGGTTCAAAATAAAAGTGTCAGTTATGCAAGAACTAAATTGATTCAATAAATTTGATGGAATAATAGGAACTGAGTAACTTTTGATCTTTTTCGAGTTTTTCGAGAAATTCTAATAAATAATAAATTCTAAAGATCAATAACATCTTCAACAATAGCAAATTTTTTCTAAAAAAAAAAAAGAGTTCAATTTCTTTACCTTTATATTCAGCGGGCATTTCCCATTTTGATACTTGAGTGACAGAATTGTAATAATATTTACGACCACCTTCCGAAGTGAACTCCTTCCAAGGACAAGAGCCCAACGCTTTCTGTAAAAATTGATGAATCAGCGATCAACAGAGGTTTCATCCATACTACTTCGACAAGTAAATGAAACTACCTCCTCGGGCGTTTTCAATTCATCCGGTTTATCCCAAATGCTCTCCTTCGTCACAACGTTGTGGTAATATGTACGACCATCTGGAGAAGTGTGCTCGGTCCAAACGCGTGTCTAAGGTGATAAAATAATAGGTCAAAAAATCAAGATTAGAAAGAATAAGGTTCATCCAAAACATACAGTTGTGGAAGGAAGGGGTGGGGTCTGTCCCGGAGGGAAAATTTGCATTGATCTGGGCGTAAGAGTTGAAGGCGCTTGGTAACCAGGCCTTTGCTGTGGTGGCTGAGTTTAAAATAAGGTTACTTCTACGTAGTGTCTTAGAAGGGTGTGTACCTTCCGAATTGTTAGTAATCAATACTTACAGTAGGAAAAGTAGGTCTCGTTTGTCCGTATGGAGGGGCACCCGGAGGATTCCACGACATATCAAATCTAAGCGAAAGATAGATGGATGTTACAAATTCCGATTATTTCGGATTGGGAAATAACAATAACTTTCGTGTCACCAGCATAGAACACAGGAAAAAAGATTTGCAAAAGTAAGTTACCGGGGGGTTTTTTTTTTTTTCTATTTGACCTAGAATATATCTGTCAAAAATGCAAGATGATTAAATGATATTATTTATATTAAAAATTATTTATTGCATTCAGATTAGATTTATTTTGATTTTGCATTAAATTTTTAAAATTAATAAAAACAATTTTGATATTTTATCTTACAATGATTTTTGTATAAATCATAATACAAATACAGATAGGTACAATATGTGTACAGTGTATACAGTATATTGGCAGGAATAATCTTGGGAACCAGTGATTTCTTTTTTTCAGGTAATTTCATTACATACGGAATATGTTTTTGTACAAGCATCATTGAAATTTTTTTGATAATGAGAATAACTTTGATATGGTTCTTGAAACAAGTTGCACGCTTGAAATTTAACAAACAATGAATTTATGAAAAAAAAAAAAAGCTCATTAGGAATTTCCTTTCTTTAAAACTATTCATCGGTTCGTCGTCGTACGGCGTCTAAAATCATTTTCGTTGCGCTATTCATGTAGGCAGGCACGTACATCTACACAATAAACAATACGTAATTCAGATAATCTTTCAATTTCCAACTTACCATGTTCTAACTCACAACAAAGATGTCGGGAATCAAAGAGTTGCGTAATATCAAGATTTTTGACATTCTATATATGCGCCTGAAAGCCGTGATTACCAAATCGGGTGATATTTGAATAGATGGTCATATGACTTTGAGGAAATGAGAGTTTAACACAGCTTTTTTAATACTATAATTGATAATCACTCGATGCTTTTGAACATTATTTCAAAAGAATTGCGAAAACTTTTTGCTGTGCTGACAAGTGAACAAAGTAACAGAAATATTAGTGAAAGTAATAATTTCAGGCAGACGATCAGTGAGACAACCGGCTCGAGGACGATGGACCAAGATGTAGAGGAGCTTAGTATAAATTGCGATTTGGCTTCACCGGAAAGTAAATATGTCTATTTTAACGAAAAGAGGCACAATCATTCTAGAACATTAAATCAAGACGAAACGCCGGTTCAAGATTGGAGAATGAAAGAAAGACTCAAAACAGTATCAGGAGCCTTGGTCCTGTGCCTAAACATTGGTGTTGATCCACCGGACGTCGTAAAACCGAATCCCTGCGCTAAACTTGAGTGTTGGGTTGATCCCTTTTCTGCCGCTCCATCAAAAGCTCTGGATGCCATTGGAAAGAATCTTCAATCTCAATATGAACAACTCAGCATCAGAACCCGTTACAAACAGTACCTGGACCCTTCAGTTGACGAAATGAAAAAGTTTTGTATGAACCTGAGAAAGGCTGCGAAGGAAGAGCGCGTCTTATTTCATTATAACGGTCACGGTGTTCCAAAGCCAACATCGAGTGGCGAAATTTGGTGCTTCAACAAACACTTTACTCAATATATTCCTGTGTCCTTGGGTGATTTGCAGTCATGGCTTGGTTCACCCTGCATTTATGTCTACGATTGTTCTGCTGCTGGAAATATTTTAGAAAATTTTAAACGATTTACTGAACAACGATATCTGGAGGCGGTTCGTATGGATTCCAGCACCGTACCCAACATTCCTTTAAATATTCAATTGGCGGCGTGTGGACCCAATGAAGCATTACCCATGCATCCCGACCTACCAGCAGATCTGTTCACATCGTGTTTAACGTCACCAATTGAAATTGCACTGAGATGGTTTGTTCTGCAAAATCCGTTACCATCTTATCTTACTGTTAGCATGGTAACGAAACTTCCGGGAAGATTGCAAGATCGTCGCACACCTTTGGGTGAATTAAATTGGATTTTTACAGCAATCACCGATACCATTGCATGGAATGTTCTCCCCCGCGAATTGTTCAAGCAATTGTTTCGGCAGGACCTTATGGTGGCCGCATTATTTAGAAATTTTCTGCTGGCAGAAAGAATCATGAGACGTTATCAGTGCAACCCGATGTCATACCCACAATTGCCGCCAACTCATGATCATCCAATGTGGGATTCCTGGGACTTGGCCGTTGACATGTGTTTGGCGCAGTTGCCGGCACTATTAAGCGCTGAGAGTACGGGGGCAGAGGTTGAATATAAACATTCGAGCTTTTTTGATGAACAATTAACTGCATTTCAAGTATGGTTATCAAAAGGACCAGTGTCACAGAAACCACCTGAACAATTACCCATAGTATTACAAGTGCTTCTTAGTCAAGTTCACAGGTCGAGAGCTTTAGGTTTATTAAGCAAGTATCTGGATTTAGGACCCCGAGCGGTTAGTTTGGCATTATCGATAGGCATATTCCCGTACGTTCTTAAATTACTACAGAGCCCTGCTGCAGACCTGAAACCACCACTTGTGTTCATATGGGCCCGAATTTTAGCGGTAGACAGATCATGCCAGCAGGATCTACTAAGAGACGAAGGTTATATCTATTTTGTGAACATACTCTCGCCGAACACCACCCTTAATATTCCCAATGAGTCAGAACATCGAGCGATGTGCACCTTCATTCTGGCTATACTCTGCACCAATTATAGCCAAGGACAACTGGCGTGTAAAAAAACGAATGTATTACAAGCGTGCCTAGCGCGCCTTGGAGATGTAGACGCATTATTAAGACAATGGGCATGCCTATGTATAGGTCAATACTGGAAGAATCAGCCTGATGCTAAGAGTGAAGGAATCGAAAACCAAGCACACATAAAACTTTTTGGACTTTTGAACGACCCCGTTCCAGAAGTGAGAGCAGCAGCTCTTTATGCACTAGGCACTTTCATCGGCGACCTGGAACGTACTGAACAAATCGTCAACATTGAACATAACATTGCCATAAATGCCCTCGATGCTAACAATGACGCATCCCCCATTGTAAGAAGAGAACTAGTGATTGCACTTTCCTATATTGTGAACGCTTATCCTGAACATTTTACACGTGCGGCATTTGAAGAACTACAAGATATTCATCGACGTATCGTTTCATCTCGACAACGTCCTCGAGAGAATCGCCTCACGGTATACACATGTGTTTGGAAAGCCTTGCTCAATATGTCAGCAGATCCTGATGCCGAAGTTGCACAACTTTCGACAACCGTGGTAGGAGCCATAAATGATCTATTGCTCGATTCTTCGAATGCGGAAAATGTTGTGGTCACCTTAAGACATGTACTCCAAGAACAAAACTCACAGGACACAGAATCCTTCCGAACATCTCTAAATAGATCCTCTCCATCCGAGGGTGTATTACCACTCAAATCCAAATTCTTTGATTGGAGCTGTGAATATTTCCGCGAACCACAAATGAGGGTCCGCATAAATTCCACTTTATCTGATTTAATTCAGTAAAAAAAAACTTTCAACCGGAATAATAAAGTTTTTATGATTTTATAGCAAGCCGAATCTGAACAATTGGGTAGCATCGATAACAATCAAAGATTATGGAGACGCAAAAGAAACGAGAGTATTATCAGATCCACACAACCACTAAAGGAAGTCGCGGGTAAGCAGCAATATGGTGCATAGTTCAAATCATTCTTTTTTCTCACTAAGACAAATACATTTATAAAGGTTCGAGTCGATGGAACAAACAGGTGGTTCTTCTTAATAACGAGACGGAACCGACGAAATTATTATTCCACCAGTTTGAACCACATCTTATTGTTGCAAATGACAAGGACATTATAAGGTAGGCCTTCGATTAAAAAAAAGTAAATCTTGATTTTGAGTACAATAATAATGAAAAATTTCAATGCAGCGTTTGGAATTGGAGAGAAAATCACCGTATGCATTCTTTTTCAAATGGAAGTCCTTCGAGAAGCAGAGTGACCGCATTAAAATTCATAAATGAAGATGAAAATTCGTTGTTACTCACTGGCTCAGGTTAGTGGCTTATGTCATTTTTTTTTCGCCTGGAAAACGATATTTGTCAATCTAAATAATACTTGGAAAAATAGGTGACGGTGTCGTGCGTGTGTATCGAAATTACAGTTCACCTACGTCATCAGAAATAGTGACATCATGGCGTGCTATGCCTGATATATTACAGAATAATCCAAGGAGTGGTCTTGTCTTGGAATGGCAACAAAATCGGGGTACGCTGTTAGTTGGCGGTGATGCTCGAGTGATCAGAGTATGGGACATACCACGTGAGATTACAGTGAGCGTAAGTTGTTTATGTTATTTACTGCCTCGTACCTTTGTCTCGGTCGAATCCTTGTAAATCGTATTTCACCTGTTGCGCGCTCTCATGATTATATTATTTTTAATGCATAGATTGTACCGGCAAGATCAGGAAGCTCCATAACTAGTATTACAAGCGAAGATAGTGAAATTTTTGTCGCCGGATTCGCCGATGGAGCAATACGCGCTTATGATAGGAGAATTCAACCGCGAGATGCGATGATAATGACGAGTAAGGAACATAAGAATGCCATAACGAATGTGGTGTGGCAAAAAGGGTCGAAACATGAGTTGGTATCAGGAAGCAAATCCGGTGAAATTAAATTATGGGACATTCGACAAAATCGGTCCAAGTTCACCATAATTAACGAAGCAGCTGAAATGAATGCGATGGATGTACATCATAATGCGGATGTAGTTGCGGGGTAATGTATAATGTATTACGATGAAGTTAACATTAGAAACGTAATAATGTATCATAACTCCTTTTTTTTCAATGCAGTGTTTACTCCAACCAATTAATCAAAGTATGGCACACGACATCTGGCACGAACCTATCGTCGATTCGTTATAACACTGGATTCCTTGGATGGGGAGCACAAGTCACTTCAATAGCGCTGGCAGGTCATCACATGGTGATGGCTGTTGGCGCAACCGACAATTATTTATCACTATATGGAATTTCTAATTAAACACGTGGCGTCTGTTTACTACTTGCTAAATTTTCGAGAAGATATCGTAGGGGTCAATAATGTTTTGGAGGAGGAATTCGATTCATATACATATACTGCGAGGACGATTAAAGACGTCTGATCGCGCTGTAAATTTAACAATTAGGCTCCTATTGATGATCATATTTATTTTATGGGATAGCGATGCATCAGGAAGGTTGACACATTCATCTGTAAATTTTGCTTTCTTTTCCTTAGCATACTTTTTCTTGTGGTATTTAGAATTTTATTATATTATTTTCATAAACTTAACTTAATCAAAATACCTTTGGCAGATACTTGTGTAAATGTTTTTTAATTTATTCTTATGTTATAATTTAATTTTTCATTCAATCAATTGCAATAAGAAGGAACGTAATAGGAGGATTTTAAAATATAACAATTTATTCACCAAATCTAACTAATTAAGTTCAATCAATGGTCCACATATTTCAAATTAATCAAGAAGAACCGGGATACGTGAGTTTTTCTTCAGGATAAGTAGGACCATCGAGTCGAATGGTATGATTGGCCAACCAGTGACCGACTTTTACGGATTCCTCAATACTTTTTCCTGTAATATATTGACTCAAGAATCCGCCAACAAATGAATCACCGGCACCGTTAGTATCAACAATATCCTTGTCAGCAATCGGGCAGGTTGGAATCTCTACAACTTTTCCGGTTTCTTGATATGCAACCACCGTTGGTTGGGCACCGTGCGTAATTATAACCACTCGAGGACGTTTAGTATTAACCTTGGGAAGTTGTGCAATTTTCAATGCAATTTCCTTCAGATCGGTTGTCTTTGATTTGAAATGGCGATGGTTAAATGCGACAGCAGAGGAATGTGTTTAAAGTAATGTTATCAAATCACTTTAACAAAAATTACCTTCCAATTCTCAGAGACCGCGAAAGCTTCGGCCTCACTCTCATTTCCAAAGATAATATCCCAATATGGCAAAACATCACTCATAACTTTCTTAAAAGGTGGCGCCTGACATAGGAATGGTGCTGATAGATTCATCATGAAAGGCTGAAGTTTACAAAGGTTCTCGGATCAATTTATATTCAAAAAAAAATCCTGTATCGATGGACGGATACTCCTACCTTGTTGTTTTCAGCGGCATGCCTGGCAACTTTCAAAATTGCACTGGGCGATACCGTCAAAAAAAACCCACCAATGTAATAATATTTAGCATTTTCAACAATTTTCCATTTTCCAGGTAAATCCAGATGCTTTGAATCTTTATATTGTTCGGCCGCAGATAAATTTGCCACCAATGATCTATGAAAAATTATAAGGATTGAAGGAAAAAGAATTTTAGACAATGCCCTAACCGTTGATTTGCATGTGGTTCAAGTTACCTATTGAGATCGGTAATGACGACAGCACAAGTCCCTGTTGGGTGCTCGTTGTCAACCAAATAATCCACCGTTAGCCCTTCTTTACCTGCTGCTTTACGCATTTGATCAGCGTACTGGTCACTACCAACACACCCAAAGTAGATAACCGAATTGGGTGGAAGGAGATACTAAAATTGCATCGCCGAATGAAAAAAAAAACCGCGATCGGTTATAAATTCCAAGGCATTCGCACGTGATTTACTTACCTGAGCTCCTCGTGCTGTGTTCTGTGTCGCACCACCGGCTACATAAGCAGGCGTGTAATTATTTATTAACTCTTCATACCTTTAACCAAAGGGATGAAATTTGTCAACTTGCCAAAAAAAAAAACATTTGCATAAAATCCATCATCAATTATACATACAAAGGCTTGTGTTTCTCCTCTGCAAGAATAGAATCGTTGGCTTTTAGATCATACCTTAAATTAATTAACGAAAAAAATTTTTAACGCCCGTCGAAAAAACCAATAACATCAAAAAAAGAAACACTTTACTTCTTCAAAAGTGTTGTGTCGGCATTGACCGAAATATCCAATAAAGGATTGCCCATGCAAAAAAGAACGTGCGTACTTTGACTCATCTTTCTACGAGACACTAGACGACAAAAAACTTTACATGCGATCGATCGATCGAAGTAACTGTATACGTTTGTCACGTGAATAAAATAAGACTTTAAAGTCTAAGCTATATAATAACATCTTATTGACTTTCAAATATGTAAATTGATCTCATTCTTTCACGATTATCTTTTATCGTTTTTGAAAAAAAACTCTTGATCTTACCTTAAAACTTACATACTGTATATTGTCTGATAATTTCGGTGCCAGTAGTCTATACTCGACAATCACATGAAATGTTTCAATTTTTTGTATTGTAATATATAATTTATCTTTTTTATTAGCTTTATTCTTTCTGGCAAAAAACAACATGACTTGTATTTTTTAATGGCCTATTTAGCAATTTTACCTTTCAATCCCTTATAGTTTGTATGTAAAATTATAAATAATTGTTATAAAAATATTAACAAAAGCTTTTAAAATTTGTTTAAATAAAATTTTTGTAATTATAATTATAAGTTTGTCTTGTTTTTCATTTTATATAATTTCAATATTGTTTTATAAAATTATATTTACAATAAAATTTTGGATATCATTCAAATATATGTTTAATATTTACAATTGTTTTTTTAATATTAATTATTGTTTGCAAAAATCAGATTGTAATAATATAATTTATTATATATAACATTAATTTTTTTAATTCATTTTTTTTAAAACATTAATTATATAGTATATCATATTGATTCCTTTTATTAATTAAAGATTATATTTTTTTAATACTTGTTTTATACTATTTAATTATTATCTTGGTTTTTCTTTAAAACAATTATTTAAAAATATTATTAATTATATTTATTTCTTACTATTTTTATTTATATATTAATTATTATATTTTTAAATTGTATTTTTAAAAAATCTAAATTTTATTTTTATTACAATCTACTGTATATATTTTTAACTATTATATTGTAATTTATTAATTAATTAAAACAAAAAATATCAATACACTTGAAATGTAATATTTCAAAAAATTAAAATAAATTATATTTATAAATTGTTAAGTTATTGAATTATTGAATTATTTAAAATAATAAAAAATCAAAAAAAAATATTAATTTGATCCAGTATATATTTTAATTTTCAATATTCATTGGTTTATATAAACAAATAATAAAATTTTTTTTATATTTAATATAGTAATTTTCTATAATTGTTTATTAAATAGTTATGATAATTTATAATATGAATAAATTATTCTATATATTTTAAATATAATATATTTTTATTTTTTAAAGCTTATATTTTTTGTTATTTAAATAAGTTCTAATTTAAATTCTAATTATTTTTTTTTTTTGATCCATAGTCAAACAAATACATATTGTTTATTAAATCTTTACAGAAAACAAATAATATATAATATATCATATTACATAAACTATTTTATTGCCTTGAATACCCATTTTTGACTAATGTCTCTAGATGTAACTTTGAAAATAAATAAGGTTGCTGCTCTCTTTGTTATTTATTTATTTATGAAGTTCAATTTTAAAGATTATTGCCTACAGTTAATCACTACAGTTCATCTTTTCAAAATCTAGACTACTTTTTATATTCTTAACCATTTTCTTCCCTCTTTAATCCATTTCCAAATCAAAATCTTGTTTTGAATTTGTATGGAAGAATCTTTTATATTGTCTTCTTGTGGTTCTTTTAAACTTGTTTCCTCCTGATTGGAAACTTTGATTTCCTCTTCTTTTTTTCTGTCCTGTATATATCATTTTATCTATATCTGTATATTTTAAATTTTCTTCCTAAGTTCTGTAATCTGGCGCATTTGTTATTCCATAGCTTTTTTTTAACTTACTTGCAAATATTTCTTGAAAATTTCTTTAGTAACTGTTTCACTTCATTGGTTTTAGTCTTGACTTTGACTATTGCTTATACCTATTTTAATATATTTTCTTTTGAAAGAAATTCTAAGCACAAGTTTATAATTTTTATATTTATAGAGAATTTACATCTGTACCATCTTTGTAGGAGCTCTTGTATTATAGTTTGCCTATCTTGTATTTTTTCCACTTAAGCATTTTCCAGCTATTTATTAAGTAGCTGATCCTAGCTTTTGTTTTATATTTCTTTATGTATTTCTGTAATATTGTTACAAAAAAATAAATGTTTCAGGAATTCATTTTCTTGTTAATAGTATAGGCAATTGGTCAGGTTTATATATTTTATAAAAAATCTTTTGATTATATTGTTCAAGATTGATAGTTCGTTATTTAAATTTTAATTCTATTATAATATAATTATTGAAATCTTTTATATATTTTTTGTAAATAAATATTTCTTTTAATTATTTTTTTTAATATATTAATATATTAAATTATTTATAACTATTATAATAAATTTCTTTTTATAAATTAAAGTTAAGTAGTTTATAATTGATAATAGAATTTCTATATCTTTAAATTCTTACTAATATATAAATTTACTTATAAAGTATAAATTAGTATATCTAAAAGACCTACCCAGTCATAGTCCAGTGAGCTAAGGCAGGGTAGGACTAACCTATGAACTACGGTTCAACCTATACATGTTGCTGAAATTTGTAAATCCTTGACGCAATTGATGCAATTATTTGACACAATTAATTGAGTCACTATTAAAACATATAAATAATTGAGT